TATGTTTAAAAAAAGAAACGTTGCATTCAAGGGATACTGCTCTACTAAAGTTCTACTTCCTTACTCTCATTGATGGACTGAAACTTTTAAACAATTTCTGGGGATCTGGGGAGAAGCTGCATGCTTGCATACGCTATTCACACATTACTGGCAATTATAACAATAACCAAAGAAAGTTGTGGCAAACCATACCACTTGAAAATGAAGTGCAACGAGTGTCTTTTCAATGATGACAAAACGCTTTAAAAGAATGCAGAATGTCCATATGGTTGGGGGGGGGGGGGGGAGGGAACAAAAATGTAAGCCAGGAAGAGTAAAGGGCCTAGAACACTAACTTAAGGGACTCTGGATGTTACATCAGTGAAGGGAGAAGCACAATTATTATTCACTATAAATATTTGTCGAGATGATAAAAAAATTTCTAATCCACGATAAGCTAGCAGAATCTAGTCCGATAGATTTTAATTTAGAAAAGGACTTACAATTGGCCACCTGGTCAAAAGCTTTGGAAAAATCAAGGGAAATGCTATCGGTTTGTTAATTATTTTTCATGTAAAGTGCAATTTGTTGGTAAACTCGAGCTACTGTGTATCACGTGACCGATGTTTTGAAAACCATGTTGATTATGGAAAAATAAATTATTAGTCTCCAGATGGCTTGTAGATATGCAATGCGATAATGGGCTCCAGCACTTTATAGGAAATGCATGTCAAGGAAAGGGACAGCAGTTGTCTGGCTGTTTTTTGTTTCCAGCTTTGAGTACTGGAATAACTGTAGCAACGAGAAAGGGAAAGAAGACAACCATCTGATCATTGTGCGAAGCCATAAGGAAATCTATACGGATTCCTCAGAAAGAAAACCTCTTAGTTGCCAAAAAATTCGTCCTGGTCCGGGGTTTGAACCCAGGACCAACGCCTATCCTGGCCGGTCGCTCTGCCAATTGAGCTAATTAGGAAGCTAGCAATTGGAAATGCGAGGGTGAATTCATTGACAACTCAAAGCACATGAATACAACTATTGCAGATGAGCTCTGTGGAGGCCTGCAGTGTGGCGGAGAGGCTCGGGGGGGAAGGAGGGGACAGCCACCCGATTGTGGCGCGAAGCCATAGTGGAGTCCATGCAAGTTCCTCGGAGGTCGGGACTCTTGGTTGCTGAAGGGTTTGTCCTGGTCAGAGGTACGAGCCCGGGACCGGCGCCTGTCCGGGGCGTTCGCTGTGGCAATTGAGAACCGATGACACTGATGCTCAATTGGTAGAGCGACCGCCCTGGATGGGTGTTGGTCCCGGATTCAAGCCTCTGACTGGGACGAATTGTTCGGCAACTGGGAGAATGTCTTTCAGAGAAATTCGTGTGGATTTTGTTGTGGCTTCGTGCTGCGATCGGGTGGTTGTCTTCTTTCCCTTTCTTGGCCTTTCCTCCACCTTGCAAGTTTCCGCAGAACTCATTTGTAACTGGAGCAACCTTCCATTGTTTAAGTAGTTGGCCAGCCAGCGATGATTGAATAAATATTTTGCACAGTATTGCACAAAAAAGAGGTAGGGTATTTTTCGATATCCCAGCGTTCAAATGATCTATGCCAGCAGATGGAGATAGTCAAAGGTTACTTGAGGGACACTGTGCTCCTTGCGGTGACTGTTAGTGGGGCAATATATAGATAGCCTAAGTCTGGAACATAAGACGCATTTAGGGGATCACTTGCAAATACTGACAAGAGAGTTCTGTGAAAGGTACAGAGAGTATGTGAGTAGTAATTTTTTTTTTTTTTTTGCTGAAAAGTATATTTTAGAGGTGCACAGATTGGGCGACGCAAATCAATAGTCAATACAACAATCCAGGTTGAATCAGATAATCCAATCCACTGCCTACATAGTCGAGTCAGTAAATAAAGCAGGTCAGGTCGATCTAATTCAATCCAATCCACATCCTAAGCAGCGTGTGCTACAGACATTGTAGTAAAATAGATTATACTCCAGTGGCAGAACTGGCCAGGCTCCCAAGTCTTCATTTTACACGGATGCCACGAGATGGCACAACTTCTACGTTTCCCAGCAGCTTTGACTGCCTTGTCGGGACTATAGCAGGCTCCTTAAAAATTTCATCGCCAATTACTTTTAATTTTTGTGTTTGTTTTCTGATTCTTCATAACATCAAACAACTAACTTGCTCACTGCCTTGCTCAGTGGTTTTATTTTAACCAGATATACATATTTTTTCACATTTACCACATGCACTCGGAACATTCTGAGTGCGTTTGTTAAATAAGTTTACTTATATGGAGCGCCTGTTTTTTTTTTTTTTTTTTCACCACTTGAGGGCTTGTTTACAGTGCACAGAGCTTTCCATGTAGATGTGGTGGTCATGTAATTTGCTTTTAATCATCCTGGAAAACCTGGAGAAGCCAGGGAATCGGTGGACACCCTGTCAAGGCACCGCCACGACTGTGTGGAAGTCATCACTAATCGACCGGTCTTTACCGTTACCGAAAGGTGGAAAACCTTTAGCGGCTCATGGTGGTGTCGGAGAGCTGAGTGTCGCATTGAACTTCCACGCGACAAAAGTTATCGCTTCTCGCACCTATGGCTTCTTGCATTCGGAGACATTGTTGGTTTATCGTTGGTCGTCGTAGATGCCGAGAATGGCATCAGTAAAGTTTGACGTGCGGCACCTGACTGCAATTCTTCATGGTGCCTCCTATTTTTCTCTTTTCGTTTTTTGTTCCCCTTACTTCTGTTCTGCCTGTGAAGGGACGTCTGGAAAGTGAACGCCCCCGCTCGCAACGTCCGAAATCTGTGTGTGGTGCTTGCCGCGTTATGTGATATCTTTCGTCGCAAGAAAATTGCAACGGTACACGCACGAGCATGCCTTTCGCATGCTTCAGAATGCTTCCTTTAACTTTTTTTCGCTTCGTATGCGCTATATCTTTACCGCAACCATGTCGGAAGTGTTCCTTGTAAAAGCATGATGCTTTGAAAAATGTTCGCTGTATGTCAACTCAGTTTTAAAGGGTAGCATTGGGAACTCGTAAGTGCACCGAAACATGGTCGTTATAACCAATAGATCGTTATATTTGAAATCATTATAGGTGGGTTGGACTGTAGTAAATATGTATAATAAGCTCTATGTAATAATTAGATGCCTCACCATGATCCCATGCTTACTGTGTATATAAATGCCATGCTTGCTTTGCATGGGAGCGGTGTAAAAGCCACAATTTCATACCTGCAAAGTTTCCTAGGTCACTTAGGAGATTTCTAGACCTTAATAATTTCTTCCGGTTGTATGGGTAACAAGGCAATCTCCCAGAAATTCAGTTGCACTTCGTTTCTATTTGTGTCCAGTGCTTTGTTTGGCCACATAGGCAAAGTTGTGTGGCCGTGTGGTTGAAAAGTCCAGCCGATCCCGGATATATCGAACTCGAAGGAGATCACTAAATCGTTCGATGAATCAATAAATGATATACAAAGTATGCGTATTTAAGGTTTAAGTTAAAACATTTCATGCCTTGGAAATCATTACAAGTGCTAACGATTCACTCACAGTATAATGAACAAGGTGTGAACTGCAAGCTACCACACTTTTATTTCGAATAAAAATAGTCCGAGGGTGAAGCAGTGACTGTGATAGCAAGAAATTAGAATGTCACACGAGGGGGGGTGGGGGCATTCGGTGTTTCAGAAAACGAGAGGGGGGGGCATAGCGGTGTTTCATGACTTGTTCAACCTCGCTGCAGTACCACCTTCGCCAATTCACCATCGCTGCAGTACCAGTGTGCCATGCAAAAAAGCACGGTAAGCACGGTTCTGAAGAGGCTGTTAGCACTAATTACGGGACACACCACTTTTTCACATTTGGCTCATTTAATCATGCGTGTATACAGCACATAATTATGAGTACTAGTAAGATTGATGACACCTGATAAAGTTGCTTGCAGTCATTTCGAGCAGTGTAGGGCATTTCTGGCATCCTAAAAAAACTGTATGCCAGTGTTTTTTATTTCCATCACTACGAATCTCCTCACTTTGAAGGTCTCCAGCTTGGCAGATCTACATTTGAATTCGCAGATTCAGACGAGGCAAATGCTAATGTGGACATTGTCATTATTTGCTCAGTGATGTGGCTAAAAATACTACCTTTATTGAAATACCAGTGCTCTTACACCGCACGATTTGGGGCATGTTGCATGGTTCGTACATATATCTTTTTTTCTACATGTAAGACTTCTTTTTCATACTGCTCTAAATTTGGTCTTTTGTGATGAAAATGTTTCGTAACCTGCTGCAAATTTAGATTTTCGTGTGTATCGACTGGCTGCCAGCACGCCATGATTGTTGTAATTAGTAATTCGATCATGACATGCGAATCATGAATTTCATGCTATCATCTATCATTTACATTTGCCCTGTACATACATCTCGTCATAGCATTTTTGGCATACATTCAATTAAATGGATGGAACGAACCCAAGACCATGTCATATAAATCATGTTCGACATGACATGTGTCACATGATTATTCACATGTTAAGACAAGTGTACATCACCTATGTTCACTCTTGTGAAGCCATACTAATTTCGAGTTTCAAGTGTTTCACCATTAACTAAACAACGGCAACAGATCCGGTGTTTATTGCATCGCGTGCTTCTCCTCCTACTCCGTCGTCTTCTTCCATATACGCAAACTACTTACTCATGTCAAGAGGTCTCAGTGAGATTTTGTTCATAAATGTGAAGAATGCTAGACTGTACTACCTTATTTATCAAAAGTTATGTAGTGTCTAGAAACTACACCTTGTGTTTGCCTTTATGCTGTTATAGAAATACTATTTAGCAGAGAATGCACCGTGTGAACAAGTTATTTCAGCATAGACAAAGAGGTCGTCAGCAGTGCTCTCGTCTGTGTGTGTTGGCATGGTCCGATTATGTGAGCTTTTCATTTGTCATTGGTAAAACATAAAATGTAGTGGAAGTCCTGGATTGATGAATGGCATTTTTCTCTTACAGGCCACCTACAGAAGTTCCCCGGCAGATGTATGAGAACATTCCACTGCAAGAGAGGAAGTCGCCCGTGGGACCAGCTTGTGTGCCTCCACCAAAAAAGTCGTGACAGGTGAATTCACTTAACAGTCTAGATTTTGGCACACCAAAACGTAGGCAGTGTTTGCCACATGCCGGTGGCTCAGTGTTTACGGAGTAAGCCCAAACCTAGTGGGCTTGGATGGAGGTGAAATGCTGCATACGTTGAAAGACCCCAAGTGGTCAGAATCATTTAGATGTGAAGAAACGAATAACCTAGATATATAGTGCATAAGCAGTTGTACACCTGATCCAGCAGTGGCTTAATTTGAGTTAGTTCGTCATGATTGGACATGGTGCACGGTATAATCTTGAGACGCGTAAAACGCTGAAAATAAACATGTGCGGAAAGGACACGCACATTTCTTCTCATGTCAGAGTATTTTTTTTTTCCATGCCTTACTGACTGGACCAGTGTATATGTGTATTGTTACATACAGTCGAGCCCGACTATATCGAACCCGTTTATATCAAATTATCCTGTATATCGAACAATTCCTAAACACGGTAAGTTTACATTGAGATTATATAGCAAAAGTTACTGTTTTATCGAACGAAAATACCAACGACAACTGATATATCAAACTCCATGTGCCTCAAAAGTTCCCCAGCAAGTTGGCTTTCCCTCGCGGTGGCGGGGAAAACTGCCGGCGCCACCCTAGAAAAAGTTGGTTAGACCCGGTTGTGCGCGGGCGAACACCCCCCTCTAAGAAATGATCCTGGCCTGCTTGCAGCGCTTACAACCAATCAGAGGCCGTCGTGCTTTCTTCGAGACGCGGAGGCGGTAGAAGTGAGCGCCATTTTTTCTTTCTTTGTGCTTGTGTGCCTGCTGCTGCCGATTCAGCGTCGTCTGTGGTGTTGCCTCTTGGTGCTCTGTGACCTGTATTGGTGCGCTGTCATCGTGGCTTGCGCAGAGAGGCAAAATTTGCCGTTCACCGCGAAACTCGAAATCATCAATAGGGTTGAGCGCGGTGAAAAGATGTCTGACTTCGCCGCCGCGTACAAAATTCCAAGGAGCACCTTGAGTACTATCCTGAAGAACAAGGCAGACATCAGGGCCAAGTTGGACAAAAGGCCAGGTGCCCGTGGCGCCCGACGTGTGCGCGCTGCTGTGTGCGAAGATGTTGAAGCGGCCGTTTACAAGTGGTTTGTGGACGTTAGGTCGCGAAACATTCCGGTGTCCGGCCCTATGATATAGCAGAAAGCCAAGGATCTTGCTTTTCTGCTTGGCAGGAATGATTTCCACGGCGGTTCAGGCTGGCTTCAGCGGTTCAAAGAACGGCACGACATCGTTGGCAAAGCTGTTACAGGTGAAAGCAGGGCGGCGGACCTGGACAGCGTAGAAAAATGGCTTGAGGAAAACTGGCGAGATATCACAGCGGGATATCAAGCCCAAGATTTCTTCAATGCAGATAAAACCGCTCTATTTTGGCAAATGTGTCCAAACTTTGCCAAATACACTTGCGTGTTGTGGCGACGAGGCAAACAAAGCTCGTGTGTCCTTGCTGTTGGCAGCTAATTTAGACGGATCGAAAAAGCTTCGACCTCTAGTTATCGGGAAAAGCACGGCACCGCGGTGTTTTCGAAATGCACTGTTGCTTCCAGTTACCTACCGAGCAAACTCAAAAGCGGGGATGACCGGGGAGCGTTTTTGCAGATGGCGATCATCGTGGAATGATGATTTGGTAGGCGAAAATCGCAAGGTGTGCCTGCTTATGGACAATTGTTCATAGCACCACTGCAGTACGACCTTCAGCAACATCGAGCTGCGTTTTTTGCCCCCGAGCACTACGTCTGTGCTGCAACTACTGGATCAAGGCGTTATACGCGCAATGAAAGCCGGCTATCAGAAGCGCCTGGTGGAGAGGCTGCTACAGAACCTTCGTGTCGGCAGGGAGCTTAAGATCGACTTGCTCGGAGCTATTTCTATGTTGAGTAGGTCGTGGGCAGATGTCAAGAAGGAAACGATCCAGAACTGCTTTAGGCACGCCAGCTTCCACATGCCTGGTGATGACACCCCAAATTCTGACAGCACTGAAGACACCGCAGGTGTTTCCGCCGAAATTTGGAACGAGCTGGCAGAGTTCTCGGGTGCTATCGACGGATCGACATTCGACGAGTTCGTCAGTGCGGACGTTGATGTCCCCACCATAGGCCAATTACAGGATGAGGATTACATTGCAGATGTCGTGCCGACCACGAGCCAAAGCGACAGCAATATGGAAATCGACGACGGCCCATTGCCTACATCCTCCGAAGTGATTAGTGCACTTGCGTTGGTCCGGCGCTATTGCTTGAATGTGAAAGGTTGCGGCCTCATCTGCTCTAACTCGTTGGAAAACGTGGAGGCGTGCGTGCTGTCGCAGGCAGCGAAGTCGTTGACACAGAAAAAAATCCGAGACTATTTTGTTCCACAGTAGGGCACGCAAGTAAGCCACCATATTAATAAAGTACTTTTCTTCTAGTTTGTTATGTGCCTTTGTGTCAAAACGTATACCGGGCCTATATCGAATCATGCCATATATCGAACTAATAAACGTTTTTTGGCGAGTTCGATATACCCGGGTTCGACTGTAGTACAAGTGTCGTCGCTCGCTGTCCATGAACAATAAACTTCACACAGCAGTGTAATTAGAGGGATAATAAAATATTTGTGCAGTTATATAAACTGGCAGGTCATAAATTAGTCGATCAGTGCTTTCTATCAACATAAATGTTCTATTTGGAGCCATCATGGTAGTGTAATCGTTACAGTGCTTGGCTGCGATCACATTTTCAGTAGATGCAAAATTCTAGAGGCAGTTTAATTAAATCTAGGAGCATGGTAAAGATGTGGTTGAAGTTTCGAAAGCTCTCCACTACGATTCCTTATGTCATAATCATGTCGTAGTTTTGCTATGTTACCTCTCCTCTTGAAACTGTTCAGTTTTGATTGCATTTACCCATCAGACAGAGTGAAATAGCTATATTTGTGATCCCAACAGTCACCACAAATTTTGCAAATATTTATTGGGCTCTATGCACATTCCACTACTTCGATTGTGACTTGGTGTTGATCGAAAGGTTGTGGCTGAGTCCTTTCATACTGCACTGCGAGCAGTTTCAAGAACCGGCTCAAAATAACTTTTTGCTTGTGCTTTGTTTTTTCGGCTCAAGGAAAGCATTGCCATTGATCCTTAAAAGAGCCCTGCAAACCGGCATTTAATGGATTCACTAAAGGAGCTTATTGTCTCACTAATTCACCACTGCAAAAATTTATAGAGCTGATCGAGCAGAGTTATGAATATTTCTATCACTCTGCTATTGCATCCCTTTTTCCCGTCGAAAGCGCTGGAAATAAGCAAGGGGGGGGGGGGATGGCACAAGTAGAGAAAAAGAAAAATGCCACATGACCTTGAGCACTTTTTCTTCTCGCATACGTGGCTCTTTAGTGCGTGTGGACAAGTCATGACCTCCCTCGGCGATCCCTGTGGCGAACGAGGGCACCATGCTCAAGTCAGCCAATGGCTGATACAGTGGCTTTTACGCAATGATATTGGGTATCCCCCCATCATTTCGTGAGAGAAGGTGATTTTCAGCGGAGTTTGAGAATTTGTTGCAAATTACAGGGTTGCATATTCATGGGAGCTTCGACTGCCCATCGACACCATTTTGTTACCATACTCAATATGTGTTTTAGGGGGCCTTCAAGTAAATCAACTGAGAAAGCTATTTTTTCATTTAATTACTAAAAAGTAATACACACTCTGATGAGGGAAACGATACATTGACGAGCGCATTGGAGTGCTTAAAGCCCTTCGAAAATGGTGCCAGAAGCCGCCTCGGGATCTCTTCTATCATCCTTGCTGCATGTAAGCATTTATTTAACTATACTTATGGCCTGATTGGTTGTATATATTGTAATAACAAATACAGGCTCTAAGAACGACGAAGAAGACGTTTGTTGTGGCGGAGGCTCGTACTGCTGCAGCTGCTGCCGAAAACTGCTGGTTGCTGTCTCGATGCTGTTAGGTCCAATAAACGGTTGCTCTACCCCGGTGTGCATCAAGCAGTATTCTTACATTTGGTGGAGAGTGCTGGTTGTCTCAAACTGGAACTCCGTTCTCGGACTCTACCTCAGCCCCTCGCCTCGTCAATGCCTGACATGACCCAGCCCCCTGCAGTGATAATCCCATCTGTCACCTGTTCCTGAATGCCACGACAGCGAGATCCAGTGATTTTCAACGCAACCGACGACCAAGACGCCGAAGACTGGCTGTCGCAGTATGAAGCGGTAAGCGCCCACAATAAGTGGGATGACACAGACAAGATAGCTTACCTCAATTTCTATCTCGCGGGTGTGACAGAACTGTGGTTTGACAACCACAAAGCGGAAAGACCTTCTTGGCCTACCTTCAAGACGCGCTTTGCAGAAGTCTTTGGCCGACCCGCTGTTCGCAAGCTATGCGCCGAACAGCGCCTGCGCTGACGCGCACAGCGCTCAGGCGAGACCTTTACCTTGTATATTGAGGATGTTTTGGACCTCTGCCGTCGTATCGATCCAGAAATGTCTGACACTGACAAAATACGGCACATCATGAAAGGTATCGAGGACGATGCCTTTCACATGCTCGTTGCGAGAAACCCACAAACCGTCGCCCAGCTTATTCAGCACTGTCAGAGTTTCGGCGAGCTGCGGAGAGAGCGGATTTCTACTCGACGTCCAAACCTCGACACAACCTCTACATCTGGGTTAACCATTGGCGCCGTTTCCTCCGAACAAACCACATTAATGCAGCAAATCCAGCAGTTTGTCCGAGAAGAAGTTTCACGCCAATCGTCTCTTGTGCCGTACGTCCCGACCAGTGAGCACATGCTGACCCCAACGCTCCGCAAGGCAATCAAAGAGCAAGTTTCTGACGCCCTGTCTCCCACATACAATCCTCCGCCTATCTCCGCCCCTCCCATTTACGCTGAGGCCGCCAGACGATCGCCGCGTCGCTACCAACCGTCACGGATCTTGCTAGACAGCCCCGTCCCCTTAACGCAGCAAGT